AAAATCTGCCAGTAAGCTTATCAAGAAAAAAGGAAAAGTTAATGTGTCATTAATGTTTTATTTTAACGTTATGCTGACCTCTAATATCCATTTAACTTTTCTAAATGTTTGTTTATTTAAAAAGTCAATTCTAGGATATTGCCAAGAATTTGGTGATGCAGTTATGATCATAATTGTTTTCCCTAAATGTTTCTATCAGCAGCCCATTAGAAAAATTGGCAAAATGTACATACAAACCGCTAATTTGCAAAACAGGAAATAAAGAACACATATATGAAAATATTCTCAGCCTTACTCATCAGAAGAGAAATGTAAATCAAATCAAAACTATAATGGGATTTTTTTTTTTTAACCTCTCACATTTGTAGAGATCAAAAATTTTAACATTAAAAAAAAAAACTAGTCATTGGTAAAATTGTTATTCTCTGTGCTAGGCACTCTGAATTATTTTTTAAGTTTATCACTTTGGTAGAAATGTGTAAACTCTGATACATATTATGAGTGTGAGTCACAAAGCCTTTACTAAAGGCCATTTGGCAATAACTATAAAAATTTTTTTACTTGTGTACAATTTTAGCACAGCAGTTTCATTTCCAGGAAATTATCCTATGGATATATTCACACATAATAACATATGAGGACATTCTTAGTAATGTTGTCTGTATTTATGATAAGACTGAAATCACCTAAATGCCCATAAAGAAGGAACTGGTTAAATTATAAGTCAGCCATTACAGTGGAACTCTATGCTGTCATTAAAAAGAATGAGGAAGCTCTATGGGTACTAATAGGAAAAGAGTACCAGGATACCGTAAGTTGAAAAAAAAAGGGGTCAGGAGTATAGAATAGCATGCTATCAGTTGCGCTTAAAACACACACACACACCCATATGCACTCAGATTCCCTGGAAGGATACACAGGCGCTGGGGACAGTAGGTGCCTCTGGAGAGAGACAGGGCGACCGTGAAACAGGGGTGGGCACGAGGGAGATTTGTTTTTCCATTTGTCTTGTTGTGCTTCTTGTACCTATTCAGGAATAAATATGTCAATAGATAAACACAATGTAAAGTTTCCAGTTAAAGATACCCTTACATCAGAATTGTAAATGAAAGACCATTCTTCCTGACTTAGAAGAATCTAGTTTGCTCCCAAACTAGGTTGAGTTTCCTTTGCTAGGGAGAGGCCAAGAGGTCTTGGAGAGGTCCTGATTTCCATCACCAGCTCCTCACCGTGTGCGCCCCGTGCTGCTTCCTGCTTTCGGTTACTCTGATGATCATCTGTTTGCTGTGTGGCTGCTGGCCGGTGGTCCCCAGGGTCCTGCTCTGTCCCTACAGCCCATCGCTCTGCTCTCCAAGCGCTGCCCCTCTTGCCCACCGGCCACAGTGTCACCAAGCAGGCCGCATACTGAAAACAAGTCTGAGGCCACAGATCTTGGCAAGTCCAAGGGCAGCCTAGTTTTCAGCACAGGGCTTCGGTGTCACTCTGCTTTCACAGACCTGAGCTTAATCGTGACCATCCAATTTCCAGGATTTTCTTTTCTGGTGAAACATGTGCTATCTTCAAGTCACTTCTTCACCTTTGTTGGGCAAGACTGTGGTTTCCAGAAATGATAATCAGGGAGTTTTTTAAATGATAGTGGATGTAAAACTATCTCACTGGTACTACCATAAAGGAATTTAGTGACCTTTTTTATGCCCAAGCTTAGACTAATTTAACTTGAAGGGAGACAAACACGGGTTTATCACTGTAATTAGGAAGGAACACAGCTTCCTGGACTGAACCAAAGTGAGGCACTTGTTTGCATTTATCTGCGATAACAGCATAATCCTTCACCTGAGACAGAACCTAATCATCACTTAGATGTGATGGTGCCTGAGGACAACACAGTCTCAGCCGGAGAGGCAGAGGGCCTGGGAGATAGACACGACAGGAGAGAGGTGTTGAGTTTACTCTAAACTAAGAGAGAGACTTTCCAGGAGGAATAATAGTGGACTCCACATAAAAATTCTAATTCTGAAACAGGTGGGAGGGGGAATCGGGATGGGGAACACATGTAAATCCATGGCTGATTCATGTCAATGTATGGCAAAAACCACTACAATATTGTAAAGTAACTAGCCTCCAACTAATAAAAATAAATGAAAGAAAAAAATTCTAATTCTGAAACATTGTGAAGTCTGAATCAACTCATCACCAAACTAATGAGGTCTAGGAAGAAAGGAATATCAGACTGCTGATAGGGATTATCAGCCTGTTTTTTTAATTTATATAGATTGTGTAACGGTGTGTGGCTGTGTCTTATTGAAACCATCACTTCCTAGCTGGTAATACATATGCTGCTGCCTAGCAGGTAAAGTCAGGCTTGGTTAGTATAAGTGTGTCTGCCTTATCTCCCAAGCATTGCCACCCTTGTCTATTGATGGCAATTGCTCAGAAACTCCCTACTGAGAAGCTTTCAGGGCCCATAACTGATGCTTAAATTGGATTGGAGATTGGAGAAGAAATAACCTGCCAATACCATGTGAAGATGGATCCCCTGTTCCCAGCATCTTCTCCCGCTTCTGTGCTTCCTTAAAACTGAAACTCATTTATCCGTCTCACACCGCTCGCTCTGACGCTCGCTCTGAATATCCTGCTGGGCCAGCAGGGACCTATAAACAAGCTTTTGTTGAGAGAAAAGGATCATTGACTTGGCTTTTTTTTTTTTTTAGTTAATTCTTATAGTCAGTGTCCTTGAAAGAACCTTATCTTCTTGTTTCTAGTTTGTTTGTTTTGTTTTGATTTTTTAAACTGATTTCCTTGTTATCATGACTTCAGTGAGACCTGTTATTTCATCTCCCTTGTCAGTGAGAGTTCAGCTTCGCTGACTAACTTTACAGTGACCGAGGAAGTGGTTTCTTTCTTTCCCTGCACCCTCCTCACTCAAGCACAGGCAAGTCTCTGCTTTTCAGATTTTAGCAGTTAGAGTCTGCTGCTGACAAGACGACCTCTGGGATAAGGGTTGCCTCCAAGAGTCATCTCACCAGTGTTAGGAATTAGCTTGCTTGAGTTTCCTTAGCGTCTCTGAGTAAACAAAAACCCCAAATTGGATTGGCCCGTAGATGAATTGCACTTCCGCTTTAGACATTACAGAATCAATCATTGTCAATCCCATGTCGATCAACACCAGCAAGTGACCACAGTAAGCAAAGTGCTGAATTGAGTGTAGTGGAAAAAAACAGAAGTTCCCTGCTTTTAAGGAACTCCGTCTCGTAGTTGGATTGATAAGCCAGTTGGGAGAAAAAAGTTAACAGTCCACGGCGTGAATCATGGAGGGGTCCGGTGAGTTATAGAGACAGCAACGGCAAAGCTGGGGCGACTGGGCTGGGAGGTTCTGGGGAGTTTGTGTGGCTGAGGAGGGCCTTCCTGGGAGGACCAGTGCTGGAGACCAGGCGGCAGGTTAGGGTGGAGGCTCTCTCTATAGAAGCCGTTTTAACCTATGCATACCTGGATGCTCTGTCGTTGACAGGCAAGGCTTGAGTGGGCTGGCCTGGAGGTAGGGTCTCTAATTCTGTCAGGGCTAAGCTAGGGGCCCTGCATCAGAGGCACCCACTTGGTGAAAGCTGAGGGCCCCACACTGCACTCAAGTTCCTGGTCAGGATAAGTGGGGCAAGGAGGGGCTGACATCCGGCCACTTTGCTTCCTCCGCATCTTGGCCCTGGGCTCTTTCTGCCCAGAGCAAGGGGCACGTTTCTCTGGCTGGCCATGTGTCCACAGGGCTACAGTCAGACAGACAGCACCTTTTCATGGGTGCCTTTGACGGGGCATGGCTCTTTCTGAGTCCTCAAAGGTGCTATGCAGGATGGGCCTCAATCTGACCCTTCAGAGAACTTGGTAAATATTTGAAGGAATGCTGAAGTGGATTATTGAATTCCACACACACTTTGTCTCCCTACTTAAAGAGGGACTCTCGACTGGATTTCTTTTTCTTTTTTTGGTTTATTCAATTTACTTCACTAGGTTGTGGGAACTTTCTTCCTGTGTCTACCGCACTGGCCCTCCTGCATCCATTAATGGTTCAGCATGCAGCCCTCTGACTTACTGTCCCCTCTTCTCGCTCTTTCACCGAGGTCAGATCTAGTTTTCCAAAAGCCAATTAAGCATGATTACATACCAGCATTGTCCTAGACCCTGAGGTCAGTATAAAGATCAGTGAGATTTTCCCCCCAGCCTGGGGGTCCCACATCACAGAACTAGTAAGAGGGCTCAGAGGATAGATAGGTGGTTGACGGGATGGACAAATGCGAAGAGAGAAAATTTGAGAACGGCTTTCTATACAAAGGCCTCTCAGATGGACAGACCTGAGTTTGAATCCCAACTCAGACAGGTGCCAGTTCTGTGAACTGGGGCGAGTAATTCACCATGTAAGAGCCTCAGTTTCTTCCTCGGTGAAATGTGGGTAGTAATTCCCACCTAGCCTAGGTGGTGGGGCCGATTAGAGATTGTAATTGCTGAGAGAGGCAGTTGGTGAAATTAGCAACTACCCAAGTCAAGTCCTATAGGACTACAACAAAAGGTGATAAGTGACGTAAGTGCAAACAAAACAGGTGGGGGCTCCCTGGGGGACGGCTCACACCTGGCTGGAGGCCACACGTGAGCAGGCTCTGGAGGCCCTCCCAGCCTCCAGTGATCTGCCACCTCCGTACTGGGCAGGGCCAGGCCGGGCAGTGCAGGGCTCTTGGGCCACAGACCCGGGAGCCAGCAAGTCCCTGCAAAGTCAGACCTTTACCTGCACATAAACCTACAGGTGTATCTGAAGCCGGCATGACCCAGAGCTCCTCCTCCTCTGGCACCAGCGGAGGGGCCAGAATGGAGGGATGGGAAGGGCACAGCTGTCCCTGTTGACTTCAGCCTGTCGCAGGATTGAAGGTCATTCCACTCTCAGAAAAGTGAGGTCACGTCATCGTCTTTCCATCCTCCCCACCCTGGATGTCTAAGGTGAAGCGTTTTCTCTTCCCCAGCTCAGAGGCTGAGAATGGTGTGGAGGAGAAGAAGAAGGTATGCAGGTCGCCAGCAGCACTGTCTCCCACCCCGTCCAGCGAGGCCGAGTCCCAGGACCAGAAGAGAACCATTTCCACGCGGTGAGTCCTCACATGACTCCCTCCTCTTTTTGGGCTTTTCGGGGGAGGGGGGTGTTGGAAAGAGCTGGTGTTTCTAGTTTTATGGTGGTGGCTAAGACGAAAGCTCTCCTGCAGGCAGGGGACACCCTTGAGAAAGAAGTGAGGCGTTTTTCCTTCACATCCAGGCTCTGGCACCTGCTTTCTCTCTGAGCTCTTCCTGGCAGTGTCTCTTCTCTTTCCCGCCCCAGTCTTCTGCAAACTTTCTGCCCCTTTCTTAAGCACTGATTTTGCTACGTGATAAAGCCTGGGTGGCCCCCTCTCCGGCACAGAGGTAGAGAGCACCTGGGAAGACCGGCAGGGCCACTGGTGAGGCCACCCGGCTGGATTGTGTGCTCAGCCATGGGCGTGCACACCTGCCGTCTCACTTTCCTGGCAGCCACAGGAGAGAGAGGAGGGAAGAAAACCTTGCCTGGGATCCCTGGCCAGACACTGCCCGTGCTGGAGACCAGGCTCAGTCTGCTCGTGGGCTGTGAGGAGAGAGGAGGTTTGAGACATGGACCTCTGCTCCCCATCACTCCCAAGAGCACCAGTCATGTGCTTTTTTCCACATGGAAGGAAGCAGTAGGAGTTTCAAGTTGCTTTTCTGCCCTTAAAGGAGAATGGTTAAGCCAACAATCAATCACAAGTAACTCTGGCCGTTCATCTACACTGAGTGGACTGATAGCTCGCTTCCCCTCATTAGAACTGTCAGAACTGCTGCCTTCGGAGTCTGCTAAAGGATAACATTTACCCAATAACTCCTGCTTTCCCCTTCCTTCCTGGCTACCCCAGCCCATGTCTTCTCTGCTAATCTGTTCGTCACTCAGGACCAAGCATAAGTCTTTACCCTGCCCCCTGCCTTTTCTTTTCTATCACTCCCAATTCTCTCTCCATCTTTTCTGCAAGTCTGTTTTGATGCATCTCACTTTCGACCATTCTTTCTACAGCTGTTTTCCCGTCACAGCATCCCGCCTTACTCAACAAAGACATAAAGCCTGTTGTTTCTTATGACTTTCACCACCATTGACTGGCTACCACAGGTGCTCTGAAATGCACTACACATGTAACTCCACCTTCCCCGGGCTTCACACGAGACTAATACACTCAACATCTTACACCAGGCACCAGGGCTTGTGAAACGTCTCCAGCGTGTGATCTGTATAGTGCGGGGAGCTCTGTGCTTGGTTGAGGGCACTGCTTTCACTGTCTGGAAATTCTGAATTTTTGAATAAAAACTTTTGCACTAGGCTTCAGGTCCTGCTCATAGTCCTTTGTAAGAAGTGAGAAGTTGAAAAGGCACAAAGAAATCATGTATGTAAATGAACATCCCTCCCACCCTCACTTCAGGCCAGTGCTGTGCAGACAAACCCTTCTGCTTGCGCCACTTGAAACCAAGGGCACAGCGGCCCTTCTGTCACGTTTGCTTACAGCCCGTAGTTCTTTGAAAGGTCTGATCATTGCCTTGACAGTAGCATTAACATTTATTAATTTGAATCAATAGAGGTGATAAATTCAAATTAGTGGCTAATATAAATAATAGGTAGTTTGACCTTTGTAAAAACAATTTTATTTTCAAGTAGAGTACAAATGTTTACTCACAGTTTGTTTTTTTTTAATAATTCTTAGAATTCTAAAGATATTTATATCCATAAATTGGTTAAATGGCCAGTAGTTGAATCCAAATCTCTGTGCCTTGAATTGAATGATAGGTATCTTGGACTCAAACTGTTGGGGCTGGCAGAGACCTGGGACGTTGCATGGTCCTCATAGCTGAGAAAACCAGAGCCTAAAGTCTCTCTAAGTTCATTTCTGTTTCTGTGTCACACCCATATGCCACCCCAATTGCTTAAGAGTCTTCTTAAATTCACTTTGAACCAAACATTGTTTTTAACAACACCTTGATGTAAAGAATCCTGTTGTGGAATCATGAATTTCATGTGCCATGTTCCCCCCAAGAAACAGAAAAAATCTACATAATTGTATCACGAACCTTGTTCATTCATATACCTCTAAAAGTCCTGCACTCAATCCACACTGAAATGGCTGTGTTTTGCTGTATGGTTGAAGATGTAAATGCTACCCAAATGACGAAGTAGGACTGGAATCATTTTGGAAAGAAGTCGGGGATCTCTGACCTCTGCCTTTATGAGAACAAAGGAAGGACTTCTAAACATGGTCTTTTTTTAAATCATGACTTCCCTTCTATATTCCCACTCTGTGATGATCTGTCTCTCTTTTCCTCATACCTGGTTCCTGCTCGTCCTGTTAGGCCCAGTGTATTAAACCCATGTTGTCCACTTATTGTCTCTGTATCTCCTCCCAACGCCTGTGATATGCATTGTTTTGATGCTGTATCACATACTGCCTTTTTAAAGAGATGCTTGATGTGTGCACAGGCTCCTTAAGAATAACGACTGTCTTGTCTGTTCTGACGCATTTAACGCAGCACCTCATTCAATTAACACTTGTGAAGTATTGACAGACTTTTGAAACCAAATATTCCTGGATTGAACTATAGCTGCAGCTTCTGTTATTGGCCTCCAGTACTACTCTGTATACTGCTTGAAGTACTTTTGAGATGATATAATTACTTTCACAGCTCGATCAATACTTCTTCCGTAAGGTGTGATTTCTGCAGTTTGGGATGACCAGCTGCTGGAATCACCCGTCACCCACATCACGTGCTGGGTAGATGCCCTTCGAGTACTGAGTGATCGCTGATACCTAGACGAGAAAAGCCAATGAAAGGCTTTGTTGTGAGCTGGCGTGATAATTAAGATGTGGTAATAAAGTTAGTGGGTAGCATAAAAAATTTCATTTTATAGACTCCCTGGATTTTCTTTCCTCAGGTCAAAATCCAGTTTCGATGGTGCCCCTTTAGCAAATGAGAAAAGCGACTGTAAAACAGAAAGCAAGAATGACTCTAAGATTGAAAGGAAAAAGTCCTCATCTTCAAGCCAGGTGATTTGGGAATGAGATGTGTATTGTCTCAGAGGGTGAAAGGGGCATTGATTTGAAGCCAGCTGGAGGAAGGAACGCAAGGGCCAGGACTAACGCAGGTACAGATTTAGAGAACGTTGGATTTCACAGCTGACCTTGCAGCATGTGCTGAATGGTAGTGAGCCCTGCACTGTGGCCCCGAACTCTGACAAGTGCGCAGAGAGCAGGGGCCAACCCAGCTTCATGTGCTTGTCTAGTAATTACCCAAGACCAGGAGAACTATGACATCCTTGCACTGCACTTATAGTCTGATAAGGCATCTGTGTGAACAGAAGGCCTCCCAAGTGCACGCAGAGGAGGAAAACCTGGAACAGGGTTATAATTCTTCTCTAGAAGAATTTGCTCTGAAATATACCCAGACAGATCTGTGTCATAGAGTATGACATACTGGGGTCAACAGTTTGGGGTTTTTTGACACTTTACTCCTAAAATACTTGAATATATGTCTCCTAACAACTGGAACAAGAAACTGTTGACTCACCCATGAAATTTAACTAAATAGTAAATTTATGAAAATATTACTAAGGTAAAATCCATTTTCGATTTCCACAGTTGTCCCAGTAGTCGATGTCTTTTACAGAGGGTTTTTTTCCCCCTGCTCTCTAGAATCCAATTGAGCCATGCATTGCATTTGTTGGTCATGTCGTGTTTAATTTAGATCAGTCCCTGCCTTTTTAAAATTTGATTTTTATCCACATTTTTGAAGATTTCATGGCCCAGGATATTTTTAAATCAAGCATGCAGCCAGTACTCACTACAGCCATTAAAAAGAAAATCTCAGCAAAGCTCTGATAGAATACCTAGCTTTTTAACTTTTTACTGGAGTATAGTTGATTTACAGTGTTGTGTTAGTTTCTGCTGAACAGCAGTGTGAATCAGCTATACATATATCCACTTTTTTAGCTGCTGTTCCCATAGAGGCCATTACAGAGTACTGACTGGAGTTCCCTATGCTATACAGTAGATTCTTATTAGTTATCTGTTTCTTTATAGTAGTGTGTATATTATCAATCCTAATCTCCCAATTTATGCCTCCCTCCAACCCCCAAATTTCCCCACTGGTAACCGTAAGTTTTAGAACAACATCTAGCTTTAATCAAAGAGAACTTTCTGGATGCAAGATGCACTCCAAGAAGCAACATGAGCTAACCTACTTTATGTGAAGTGTTCATCTATGAATTAGTTGTCTTGAGGGGACTGTCTGTCATGTGAATGACCTTTATGACAATACTAGGACCACATTGAGACCACTTCTAGTTTAGATAATAAAATCATCAAGGGCCAATTTGTGGTATCTCTTTTCTGCTCATAAGATTCTGCCTGCTGGATGCTTTTGAAGAATTGTGATCCTGTGGATGGAGGGCCCAGCCCTCTTAGTAGATGTGTGGAGCCAGTTAAGTCCCCAAGTATCCCTGAGGCACAGGTCCCTGGACGGTGCAGTACGGACATCAGTTCCCAGGTTATTGTGGAGCTGGGAGTGGTGTTTTGTGAATGCTCTTTACAGGCTGTAAATTGCTGTCTGTACATTGTTGTCACAAATGGAAACAGGCGCCTTAAAGATGAAGTGATTTGTAGCATTTCAGACTCTTGGGCCTTCCACTGCCCTGGAGAGCTAAATCTTTCATGAGAAATCCTATTTGTCATCTCCCCCAACACTGTTTAAGGAAATACCTTTCCCACAGTAATAGTGATAGGGGCAAACCCAGTAGCAGGTCCTGGAGATGTATCACCCCATTTGAGCCTTAGGACATCCTTCTGACACAGGTACAGAAAACTGAGGCCCAGAGAGGTTAAGTTACTAGGCCAGGATCACATACCACAGAAGAGGTACAGCCAAGACTTAGGGTTATCTGATACAGAGCTTTTAACCACTCCCCTCTTCTGAGAGGACTCACTGGGATCTTGAGTGCCCTGGGATTCACTACCTGGTGAGATTTCTGACAGTTCTGCCTCATTTCTTATTGGGGATACCCTCGTCCAGCCACTTCTGCAGAAGGCTGCCCACCAGCTACTTCATGATTATAGATACAAGTCCAGTCATCAGGTCACTAATCTTGTTGGAAAATGAAACCTTTGTGACCTCCACTGTTTTTCACTGAAGGACTGTGTTGGAGACTATAAGATCAGGGAGAAGGGATTCCTAAAGATTCTTTTTTTAAGAGTCGGGAGGCTTGTTATGTAATTTCAATTGAAGTTACAATTTGTTTGTTTGATAAGAACACTGACAGCAGTGACTTCTGTCTATGTTTTGTCTTCCTTGTAGGACAAAGCAAACATGCACTTCCACAAACTCTTTCTAGATGTCCCCACGGAGGAACCCCTGAGACAAAGTAAGTTCTGACCTGGTTGACTTTGAAAAGATGCTAATTGGTTTGGGGGGTGTGAAAGAGTCTGGGGACTGAATCACCAAGGGGAATAGGTTTCTGAAAGTCATGATGTGACCGTAATGCTGACCTCACTCAGCTCTCACCCAGCACCTTGAGAGATGAGAGAGTAGAATGACTCCCTCCATGTGATACCGAGTTATCCCAGAGGTTTCCAGAATGTCCTTGCCTTCCATATTTATGCTTACATGCATGGTGATTGGACTGTGCTGAGTTTTAGGATAACAAGATCAAGCAAGACCAGACTGGAAGAAGGCAACACAGACCTAGGTCAACAGACATGTCGACCCCTGCGTTGTGCAGGGCTCAGCGGTCACACCTAAACGCCTGGCCCAGCACGCCATTCAGCACCTGCTTGGCCCCACCTGGGAGCAGAGGGACCCAGGGTTCCCTTCCAGCCTCCCTCAGTACACAAATGCTCAGGCAGCGTGCTGGGTTCGTGCCATTCTCTCCACACAGGAAGGCGTGGGTCACGTGCTCTTCCCACAAGGAGACCATCTATTTCGAAAGAGTCATTATGACCCTCCCAGGGAAGGAGGGGCAGGCAGCAGTGTCAACATTAGCACAAGGCTGACACACCTTCCCAAACAGAGATTTTGGAAACATCATTCTGAACCCTCATCTGCAATGACAGACTTGCCTTCCTATTTTGATGTTTATACTGGTTTGTAAGACTTGGAATTAAAAAACAAACTCTCATCTCCATAGCTTTATTCCACTAAAGATGACTGAAAAACAGGGGAGAGATCTTTTCAGCATATGAGTGTGTTATCTCTGCCCATCCCTGAGTCATCAACATATAGATACGATTTTAAATGGAAATTCTAAATGATGTTATACCTGTGTATATCTCCAGGTTTTACGTGTGCTCTACAGAAAGAAATATTATACCAAGGGAAGCTCTTTGTATCAGAAAACTGGATTTGTTTTCATTCTAAGGTCTTTGGAAAAGACACTAAGGTTAGTATTTTTTTAAAAGCTAACCCTGCATTTTCTTACATATTGTTAATATTAATTGTTAAATGTAGCAATGTTTATAAATATTTGTGTCATTATTATACCTTTATACCAAGTTTCCTTGACTGTAGTCCCAAATACTACAGGTTCTAAATGCCTCTGCATGAGTGCTAAGTATCTTCAGTTGTGTCTGCCTCCTTGTGATTCTATGGACTATAGCCTGCCAGGCTCTTCTGTCCATGGGATTCTCCAGGCAAGAATAATGGAGTAGGTTGCCATGCCCTTCTCTAAGGGATCTTCCCAATCCAGGGATAGAACCCGTGTCTCTTTCATCTCCTGCATTGGCAGGCGGGTTCTTTACTACTAGCGCCACCTGGGAAGCCCCCTAAATGCCTCTAGATGACGCAGACTTCTCTTTGTCCCTAAACTGCACTCTTTTCATTCATTTCCTTAAATACATATATCCCTCCTAAAATCCTGCCTTAAATCCTTTTTACCAAGATGTCACCAGCACACTCAAAGTTCTTCATATGGAGGGTGTGCTGTAATTTGTTTCAAAGACATACATTAAACCCAAAACAGTTCTTGAAAAAAAAAAAATTGTACACCATATTCACACAGTTACCATGAGAAATCTAGGCAAACAGGCCTATAAATAAGCTACTTATTACAGCTCCCTTTGTCACTAGTACAAAATGCGCAGGCTTTGGAGCATTTTGGTCCTGGTCTGGGAGTCACATACCATCTCCAGTAGATGCTGACTGACATATTTTCCTTCTCACTAAATACAGATTTGGGGGAGCAGAGTCCCATGATCCCTGAGCCGTTAAGGAGAATAGCCTGAAGGAGCTGGTAGTTCTCCCAGGGCACTGCCTTTTAAAACAAGGCCCTTGGGAGTTTGGTGTAAGAAAGGAGAAAGCTCATTACTTCCCACTGACATTCTTTCCCTTTGAGCTATGACGTCACATCACACAGTTCGGTCAGGCCACCAGATCAAGGAGGCAAAGAAATACCTAGGGTTTGCGTGACCTTGGTGAGTTTTTAATTATTCTGATTCATGATCATGAATAAGCAACTTTTATATTCATGAAGTAGCTGATTAAAAACTCCTTTTGTTTTGACTGGTAGGTATGTTTTATTTAAATACTCTCCCTAAAGCTACTGGCAGTCTTATAAAGGCCACTTAACAAATATAGTGGAAATTCTTTATGTTGGTATTGAGTCAGCAGACTAGCATCAAACATGTCATTTTTATTGTATAGAGTTGTGTTGAGATAAACATAGTTTAGATTCACAGTATTATTTGAATCAGTATAATGGAAAGCCATATTGAGTAATATCATACCATGTTTCTAGATTTCTGGATTATAAACTCTTGTGCATAGAGTGGATAAGGGGACTGATTTCCAGTTCTGTGGGATGAAGATAATTCTCAGGAATAGCGAAAGCTAACACCTCTGACCAAAGCAGCAGGGATTGAAAACATTAGAGAACAAAGAATTAGCCTTTGTTAAGGGATGAGGAATTCACAAAGCCAGTAAGTGGTTTCAAGCTAATATTATTCTAGTAATGGTTTCAAAATCCCTCCTCTCGCTAAGAAAGAACTGACCAAAAAAAAAGGATTGACCTAGTTTTTTTAAGACAAGAACACATGGGATCTGGATTGCTTTTGCCTGTGCTGTATCTAATCTAAGAGGGGTGGGAAGATAAGAACCACAATAGTGACTTGCACATTCCTTCCCCACTGAGGATGGTGTCATGGAAACTTGGGCTTCAGTCCTCTGGCAGAATTTGCTGCCTGCCAACAGACCTTGGCCCAGTGCAATCTAGCATGAACTAAAAGGAGTCAAACAGTCTGCACCAGGAAGGGAAGTTTTCTAAGCACCGTAGCCTGGAGAAATGTTAATAATAAAGTGTAACCTTAATTTAATCAAGACATTTTCAGCCTGTGTGTATTTTCAGATGCTAGTAAAATTAAAGGCATGTATCACATTCCATCTAAGCTCAAACAGAGAAATGACTCATGCTTTATTTCTCCAGTGTTATCTAGTTGTCATTTTATACTTATGAAGCAGTTGATTGAAAACTCCATCCTAAGGGTGTTGCATGCCTCAGATTCTGCAAAAATCCAAATTTATAGCTCTTGTCACTGTGTATTTGTGTTGCTGCTGAGAATCAAAATTAGACTCATTGTTATATCATCATCTTTCTTTTTTTCAAAGTAATCCCAGTTTATCACTTCTGAATTATTTCCCCAACTTCAAAAGTTTTGTGGGTAGAGTTCTTTGCTGAAATAGCTTTCTTTGCTCTAGTGTCTAATTTAGATCAGCCCCTGTTTCTTCATAGTCTTCCTATCTGGGGCAGTAGAACAACTCCATGTTGTAAACCTCCGTATGAACACAAATATCCTAAATTTAAGCTTAAGAAAATTACAAGTTCAATTTTGGTCATTCAAGCTGGAAGTACTAGCATAAGGCCTTCCTCCCCACCAGCTGACCTTGTTGATTTCTTTCAGAATATATAAAGCATTTTTATAAAATGTATGTTCACGTGAGTGTGTGCACCTGTGGGTGAATTCAGGCCCTTGTTACCAGGAGTGTGGGTGCCTCTGTTTTCGGGGATCAAAGTGATGTGATCCATTTTCCTTTGAGATCAAACCTGGTTGATCTCTTATAAAAGTCAACCAGGTTTGATTAAAATATAAGGAACATCTACTATTTGTGACATCTGGTATATTCTTGTAGTACATTGTATAAAAAAGAACCCCTATTTTGGATCAGATTGGTTCAGATTCTATCTTTGTAACTTATTTATGACCCTGAGAAAGTCATATCCTACTCTTTGAGACCCCATGGACTGTAGCCCACCAGACTCCTCTCCAGACAAGAATGCTAGAGTGGGTAGCCATTCCTTTCTCCAGGACATCTTCCTGACCCAGGGATAGAACCCAGGTCTCCTGCATTGCAGGCAGATTCTTCACAATCTGAGCCACCAGGAAATCCTTGGTGAAAGTCATTTACCTCTCTAAACAAACATCCTTATCTCTTAGAATATCTATATTATAGGAATGTCATAATTAAATGAAATTGTCATCTAGTGAATAGGTATTGATAATGGTAGCTGCTGTAATTGTCGTTATTTCTTATTGTTTGAATCAGAAAAGAACTTGAGTTCTTTTATTTCACCCATCCTCTTTTTTAAGAGACAGATGAGGAAATGAATGACATTTTTATTGACTGCTAGGTATTTTCTATCTGTTATCTCATTTAATCCACAGAAAACCCTGGGAAATAGGTAAGACTGTCTCTATAAGTCAGGGAACTGAGGCCAAGAAAGGACAGCTTACGAGGTTGGATAGGTCATGTAGATAGTAACAGAACTGAGAATTCAGGTCCCAGGATTCTTGTCCCCAAATGGGTCTGCTACACCAGTGCTTTCAGCCTCTTCCCCTAAGAACAGAGGAGAGCAAGGTGGTTGGAGATGAGCTCAGAGTGGGTAACCACATGCACGTAACTTCTTTAGGGTCTTAGCATCACCTTTAAAATGGCTGTACATTTTGCATTCTGTTCCCATGTCTAAAGATAAAGGTTTCCCACCAAACCCTTCAACAGACTCAGTGATCCACACTTCTCCTCCTGCTTTGTAAACACCACGTTGAGACCTCAGTGACACACCCATACCACTCTTTAAGATTCCCTTTTCTTCATGGAGACTGAAGAGCCGGCTGTTGGTTTTATCTTTTCTTTTTCCTTTAACATGACGATTTGGAATGCTGCTCTGTGAAGCCTGAACCCATGTTAACTCAGTGATTCTGTTTCAGATCTCAATTCCAGCTTTCTCAGTAACCTTGATAAAGAAAACCAAAACTGCCCTCCTGGTGCCAAATGCCCTGATTATAGCAACAGTCACAGACAGGGTGAGTACACAGCGGGCATGGGCACTCTGCTTTGTCCTGCTCTGGGTTTCATTGCCTTAGGGGCCTCTTGCCAAGTTACCAAGACCCTGAGCCATAAATACCATGAATTGGGGGTTACTGTAGAAGACTACTTTTTAAAATCACAGCCTTCAGACATTTGTATAGTGTAGTTTCCCCTGACAAGGTGATTTATTCTAATCATTGCCTATTTTGAATTTCCTGCTGACTACATTATACTTGCTTGACCAAGGTCCAAAAAATTAAAATTCTTTCCCAACTTCCCTTGCCCTAACGTCTGTCAGGTCAGGTCAGGCCAAAGGGATATATTTCATTTCTTTATTATTATTTAAAACACTACCACTGCCTTGTTTACAGGGTGAGGCAGGGTGATAGGAGTCCCTGGGGTGGGGGTGGCCAGTCTCCCCATAACCTCCATTGGTGCCTCTCCAGAGCCAACCTGAAAACATAAAAGTGGGGTCTGCTATTCAGGTACCGCTTCAGGCTCAATCTAGGGCCTCTCTGATTCCAAGTTGCCTTAACTACCCCTCTTCAATACAGAAGTTCTGGAGTTGTCATTGGCCTTGGGCTACCCCAGGCATGGACAGCCTGAAATATTTGCATGGAGAGAAAGCAGTGTTTCTTTCATCTTGGCAAGAGGGAGGCAGTGGAATGGTTTGGTTACTCATTTTTCACTTGAAATTTTTTTTTAATCTTTTCCCTACTGTTTTTAAGAAAGCATAAAAGCTAATTTCTAACCCTGCTGAATAACTTAAAGAGGGAAGGAAAGAGAAGGGAAGATTAAAAGAAGCTATTCTGATGAGCTAGGAAATATGCTGATACCTATTGTGAGATTTTTTTTTTTAAAGTACTAATGGCTAGCAAACATTAGGTACTTCTTGCCAGACGTACACAAGACATTTTCCTTGTATGTACACATTTATTCCACACTGCCATACTATGAGGGGTAGGGACTGTTAAGAAAACAGAAACTAAGAGGCATTAAATAAGCAATTTGCCCAATGTCACCCACTTGGTAAGTAAAGGAGCCAAAATCTGCAACTCAGTCCATCTACTGCCAGAACCCATAATGTTAACTGCTTTGGAATACAGTATTTGCTTGGAAAGTATATCAGGTTCTCTCATGGGTGAGCAAGAGAGGGAAGTCACAAACTTTGGAAAGAATATGAAAAGACTGTGGGACTTGAACAGATGGAAAAAGAGTGAGCTTTTTTATTGTTAACATATGGTGGATGGTAAAATCATTTTTCCTTACGTTATTTGTCTCCAAATGACTTGTCTAGCTCTGACTTGACTTCTTTCTCATAACTTACTTATAAGCGTCCACTAGGAAATCTCCATATTTGTACAAGAAAGAATCTGCAAGTGGCTTGAAAAAAACAAATGAGCCTGTTAGAGCGGCTGGGAAATTTTCAATGGAAATCTAGGTCAGAGCAGAGACAGCAGCCCCTTGGGAACTCTTAAATACCTTCTCAAAAGGAGGTGGGGAGGGGAGAGAGAGGGACTTAAAAGAGGACCTGGCAAAAGCACCACGGGCCTTTCTTTACTATTCAGGTCTCTTTCTGTCCAAGCTTGTCTGGGGCACCGAGGTTAGGGTATCAGAGCTTTCCTTTTGCTATACATTTCTCATTTTAAGTTGGGTTTGAGAGTTTTGTTGCTATTGTGGGAGAAGATATTCACTTTATTCCAGGAATGGAATAAAAAACTCAATGTGTGGGTGAGAGGAATGAGAGTATAGACTCTATATAGAATATAGGCTACATTGTTTGAAAAAATATAGATAGATAAAATGTTTAACTTTTACTTCTAGTCAAGCAGTATCTGTTAATAATTATTATTTTGTTTTTCAGTACATATTTGTCTCCTTACTCTCCAGAGATTCAACTTACAAACTACTGAAATCTGTGTGTGGACATTTAGAAGTGAGTATGACATCTCTGAGCCTCAATTGCTGTCTCTGTGCTATATTTCTTAGTTTTGGAGTTGATCTGGCTTTTCCATTTTGTAAAAATAATTTTGTTTCAATAATTTCAGAATACAGGTATTGGCAATGGTCCCAGTCCATCTTCTCTTGAAAACAGTTTCCGGGCAGACCGCCCTTCATCTCTGCCTCTGGTGAGTTGCCTACATAATGATCCAAAGGCAAAAGAAAGTGAGAAGGTCACACAGTGGCACTGCTCCTTACAGCATGACCAGGGTGTGGGAGGAACTTAGGATCATGGTGTCTGAGGCAGAGTTGAAGAGGGCATTTCTATCCTGAAGAGAGGACCGTGGGAAGTCACAAACCTATTCAGGAAATTGAAGAGCCATCCTGTAAAAGAAAAGAAACATGTTAGTGGGCTGACTTGGCCAGTTACAGGTCCACAAAGGTATTCATCAAATCTTGATGTATTTATCAGTGTTGTTTAGAAGGATTCACCAATTTATTTGGGGAGGGCATGATTCAATCCCACAAGTCATTGAACGTCTTCTGTGTTCAAGGCACCATGTTAGCATAGTATACCCATAAAGACACCAGGAAAAATCAAAACTAGTTCTTACCTTCAAAGATTTTAAAGCTTAGCAGATGATGAGGGATACCCAGGAATAACTGTGGAAGAGGGATAACTAGAAATAACTGGAAGAAGAAAGCTGTAATGCCCAAGTGAAAGGCAGAGAGATTCTTTGATTCCTTTAGACTTTTTGACTATAGAGTAAATCTCTAATGGAAAATATCTCCCCCATTTGTACAAGATTTATACCTGAGATGGTATAATATAAGCCCAAGAAGTCCCAGCCATGTTGTTCAAGTGGTTATTCCCGAATTGATGATTGTTAAATGTTTTAATACCTTTGGTGAAGTGGGATGAGTCCAGAGTTTCAGCATCTACAAATCTTTATTTTTTTTTCAGAGCTGTTAAAAAGTACAGGGATTGAAAACATGTTCCCACAAAAACTTAAACCAGAATGTTCATAGTTGCATTATACATCACAGCCCCAAAGTACAAGCAAACCCAATACCCATCAGCTGATAACTGGACAAATAAAATGTAATATAATCTATATAGCGAAATATTATTTGACCATAAAAAGGAAGAACTATCAATACGTAATACAGCATGGATAAATCTTGAACACATTATGCTAAGGGGAAGAAGGCAGACACAAAAGGCCACATGTTGTATGATTCATTTATATGAAATTTTCAGAATAGACAAATCCATAGGGATAGAAAATGCATTAGTGGTCGCCAGGGGATGAAAGGAGGGAGAAATTGGAGCGACTGATAATGGATAAAGAGTTTCTTTTGGTGGGGAGATGGGCATATCATGAAATAAGACAGGGGTGATGGTTGTACAATAATGTAATTATTCTGAAAACCACTACATTGTATACTTAAACCAGTGAATTTTATCTCAATTGAAAAAAAAAAATCTACCTTAAAAAAACAGTGAGAAATAGGATAAAACACTTATGATTTGGAATCCATCAAACCTGGTTTCAAATCTTGGTTCCAGCCAGCTGAGCTATGCCATCGGGTGGGCTCTTTATTTACTCTGACTCAGTTTCTTTATCTGGTAAAACGCCAGGCTCCTTACATGGCTGTGAAGATTAAGTGCAGTCATGAAATTGTATGTATGGAGCTTTGCATACTGCCTGATCTGTGGTAGGCATTCCATTAATACTTATTAAATTGAGGAGATTTGAATTGTTTAATTTTCTCTCCCCTATACATTCTTGCATGAAGTTGCAGTGGCTGTTGAAATGATCACGAGATAGCTAAGTGAGGGTGAAATGTTGGTAATTTGCTTACAGGCCGTGTTTCCTTTTCTTCACTTGGTCGCTAAATAAATTGTGAAAAGCTCGCCTAATCGCCTTTGCCTAATTGCTTAATTGTACTTTCACCGGCACATTTTAGTGATACCTCTTGTCTCTTCATTTCTTAAGCACTTTGGGGAACAAGTAGGGTACACAGCAAAAACATCCTGCTTTTTCCCAACTTCATACTCCTGTATAACCCTTCTGTCATTTGGAAGTATGTCACTGACCCTGTTTTGATTTGTTTGAGGGAAGAAAAAAGCTAAAACTTTCCCTTCAGTGTCCAATTAGCTTAGGCCATTTTCCCTTTTCTGTTTCCAATACCTCTTTTAAAACTGTAATTTGAAAGAAACCTTTCTCTGCATTTGTTGTTATTTAGTCACTAAGTCACGTCTGACTCTTTTGTGATCCCACTGCAGCACACCAGGCTTCCCTGTCCTTCACTATCTCCAGGAATTTGCTCAAACTCATGTCCATTGTGTCAATGATGCCATTCAGCCATCTCATCCTCTGTCACTCGCTTCTCCTCCTGCCCTCAATCTTTCCCAGCATCAGGGTCTTTCCCGTTGAGTCAGCTCTTCATATCAGGTGACCAGAATATTGAAGCGTCAGCGTCAGTCCTTCCAATGAATATTCAGGGTTGATTTCCTTAAGGATTGGCCTCATTACAAAATGCAAATGAGACTTCTCCAGCTTTACCTGGAAGCTTTTCTGCCATCAGCATTCCACTTTTTTCCCTAGACATTTCTTGTTTCAAACAAGTTGGCCACTGTGTGTTAATAGAATTCCGATAGCCCAGAAAATCAGTAACCAGATACTCTGATCTGTTGCGGAAACCCAGTAGTGTGGGGTAATCCCTCCTCATTTGTATTTTATAGGTCAGGCCTAAGTGAAAGGCCTGCATGTTGAATAAAGGATAATGGGCCTCTCTGCATTTCATTATTTCCCTTCAGGATTTCAATGATGAATTCTCAGATCTGGATGGAGTGGTACAACAGAGAAGGCAAGACATGGAAGGATACAGTAGTTCTGGATCTCAGACCCCTGAATCTGAGAACTCTCGAGGTCTGGGAGATTTTTGTATCTTTACTGAAACTAATTCTCCACAAAACATCCTTACCTTAACCAAAACATGAAGACAAAACCAACCAATAAACAACACATCTTCTGAGCTTACAGTTAAAACGGGACTCTAAACAAAGGGTAGTTTGAAAGTTCAAGGGAAGCGAATTGCCTGTGTGGTAAAAACCCATTTCCCTTTATATGCATGTAACAAATGTCTCTTTGAGAATGCCCTGATGGTCCAGTGGTTAAGGCTCCACAGTTTCACTGCAGAGGGCCCCGGTTCAATCCCTGGTTGGGGAACTAAAATCCCACAAGCTGGGGGGCGTGGGGGGGGGGGAGAAAAAAATCTCTTAAATAGACATAATATTGGAGTGGTCGAAAGACAGAAACATGCAATATTTCCTTACCTTTTCTTTATAATATTATTAATTATTATGGCCAAATGATCCCCATGAGTCAGTGGGATAAGGACAAACTGCCTTTGTATTGTTTTATTTCTTATTTGCTTAAACACTGAATTTCATCTGCAGACCACTCAACCAGCTTGTGAGAAGATCCATTTATGTTCCCAACCATTATGTATATATTCAGGGATTGATTTGCTTTGTGGTTGATCCTATGTGTATAAACACACTGGAGGGAAAACTTACCCAGCCCTGTTTCATCTTAGTAGATTTCCATGTGACAGAATCCCAGACAGTTCTGAATGTCTCCAAGGGAGAAACGAAACCAACTCGGGCAGATCCCCTTGTGAACAGAGTACCTGAGGGAAAAGCCAAGAGTCTCCCTGGGCATGGTAAGGAATGGATTATGATGGCAGGCGGGTAGTGGGGGCATCTGCTTGTAACTGTGAAAAGTCCTCATGTTTCACTTTATGACTGCCTTTCCTGTTCCCTCTCCTCCCTTCCTGCTGTAGGTCTTTGCATATTAGTTCATTTATTCACTCAACAGACAGTACCCAGTTCTGTGCTTAACTGTAAGGGATACAAAGATGGATAGCTTCTGTAGAGGACCTTCCATCATTCTGAATACATTGAGACTGTGATTCAAAAATTACCCATAAAACTAAATTATTTAATTATTATTTACTGATTATTATCATACCTGGTCACCGGTTGTCCTGGTAGGAGATCAAGGCTGGGGTCTGTATTGTTCACCAGTCACTCACTCTATCCCAAGGCTTGGCATAGAGAAGGCTCTCAACAAACATGTATTGAATGAAACATGTGGGAAGGAATTGTAACCACTGATTGAAATGAAAACTGGAAGGCTTCAGATAGTATTTTCTCTGATTCCTATTGCCTGGAAATAATTCTGTCTCTCAAGTACTTCTTCCCTATAGGGATACTGCTGCATGAAGGAGATATGTTACCACTTTAAAACATATATTTTGTTTTCCATTCAGCAGGTCAGTCAGAAATCACTGGACTCATACCCAGAGTAAAGTCTGAGAAATGGCCAACTCTCCACCATATTCTTATATTCTATGCAGTTGTGTAAGTAAATGTATTTACTGTGAATGGACTTAAGACTTGTAGTTTACTGTTAATGACTTAAGAAAATGATTCATTTCACTAAAGGAAAAATCTCTTCATGTTGTCAAGAGCCATGAATCTCTAATGTCTCTAGTGTGACCCAGATCTTTGGGGGGGGGGACAATTTTCATCTCCTACTTCAACATTTTTTTTCCTTAAACTTAGGTCACATTTTCATGTTCATCCCTTTTTATTTAAATAAATAGTGGAGGAAAATTTACAGAACCAGAAGCAGCCTGCAGATCGCTTCCCTTCTGTGGCCATCGTTGCAGCGCCAGCGGCCAAAATGAAGTTCAGTCCCTTTGTGACTTGTGACCGAAGCAAGAATCGAAAAAGGCATTTCGACGCGCCTTCCTACATTCGCAGGAAAATTGTGTCTTCTTCTCTTTCTAAAGAGCTAAGACAGAAGTGCAACGTTCGACCCATGCCCATCCGAAAGGATGATGAAGTTCAGGTTGTATGAGGGCACTACAGAGGGCAGCAGATTGGCAGAGTAGCCCAGGTTTAAAGGAAGAAATACGGCATTGACATTGAACGAGTGCAGCGGGAGAAGTCTAACGGCACAGCTGTCCGTGTGGGCATTCACCCCAGCAAGGTGGTTACCACCAGACTAAAACTGGACAAAGACTGCAAAAAGATCCTCGGACATAAGGCCACATCTCGCCAAGTAGGAAAGGAAAAGGGCAAATATAAGGAAGAAACAATTGAGAAGATGCAGGAATAAAGTCATCTTGTCTACAGCTTTCATTAAAAACTGTTAAAATGAAAAATAAATAAATAGTGGAGAAGGGAAGAAAGAAGAGCAAAACAGGCCAGATCCAGCAGAGGACTAAGTTCTGAGTAGCTACTCTTAGTAGAGGAATTTTTGCCTGAAATATGACGCATCTTTGTTCTTGTTTATTTTTTCATCTGTCCAGTGTCCTCCGGTTAGAAACCAAAACAACGTTAAAATATCATCCCCTTAAAATTGGACAGCTACAAGTAAATCAATGAAATTAGAACACACCATCTCACCACATACAAAACTAAACTCAAAATAGCTTAAAGACTTAAACAGAAGACATGACACCATAAAACTCCTAGAATAAAACATGGGCAAAACATCCTTAGCAATGTTTTCTTAGGTCAGTCTCCCAAGGCAATAGAAATAAAAACAAAAATAAACAAATGAGACCTAGTCAAAGTTTTACAAACTTTTGCACAGCAAAGGAAACTGTAAACAAAATTAAAACCCACAGATTGGGCAAAAGTATTTGCAAATGATGTGACCAACGAGGGCTTAATTTCCAAAACAGTTCATCCAACCCAACAACAAAAAAACACAGCCCAATTGGTAAATAGGCAGAAGACCTAAATAGACAGTTCTCCAAAGGACAGAAACAGATGGCCAAGAGGCACTTGAAAAGGTGTTCAACACTGCTGATTATTAGAAAAATGCAAATCAAAACCACAATGAGGTACCACCTCACAGCAGTCAGGATAGCCATAGTTAAAAAGCCCAGAAACGCTGGAGGGTGTGGAGAAAGGGAACCCTGCTACACTGTTAGCGGGAATGTAAACTGGTGCAACCACTGTGGAAAACAGTATGGAGTTTCCTCAGAAAACTGAAAACTAGAGCTACTGTGTGATCCGGCAATCCCATTCATGGGCATATCTCCAGACGAAACTATAATTCAAAAAGACACATGCACTCCTATGGAGTGCCAGGTAGCCAAGACATGGAAGCAACCTAAATGTCCATCAACAGATGAATGGATAAAGATATGGTGTTATATTTATATACACAATGGAATACTGCTCAGCCATGAAAAAGAATGAAATAATGCCACTTGCAGCAACATGGATGTAACTAGAGATTATCATACTAAGTAAGTCAGAGAAAGACAAATATCATACTGATACCATTTATATGCAGAATCTAAAATATGACACAAATGAACCTATCTGTGAAATAGAAACATACTCCTGGACACAGAACAGACTGGTAGTTTCCAAGAGAGAGAGGGTTGGGGGGATAGATGCAAGTTATATACAGTTATAAAATATAATGTATAGGAGAAACAACCAAGTCCTACTGTATGGGACAGAGCACTATATTCAGTATCCTATGATAAACCACAGGATAATAGAAAAGAATGTTTAAAAAATGGAAAATATTTTAAAAGAATCTTAAAAAATAGTATTAAAGAATGTTTCTAAAAATATAAATATATGTATAAGTCACTTTGCTATATAGCAGTAATTAGCACAACACTGTAAATCAACTGTATTTCAATTTTTAGAAAAGTAATCCCCTTCAATAAAAACTTAGGCGTTGACTTTTTTAACTTCCCCCTCAGCTTCCACTCTGTAACCAGTTGTTCTTCTGAAAATAGCCTGATCCAGTTCTGGGCTGTTCCTCACAACCGAGGAGGATGTGCCTGGTTTGGTTTTTAGATAAAGCAGGGAATTTGTGAGTCACAAGACCAGATACTCGCTGGCTAGGACTCCGATGGTACCTGGTAGGAGGAGGAGCCCCAGCTTGACAATCTACATTGGCTGGCTTTGAGTAAGACTCCTGAATGGCCTTTATTTATCAATTGAGGAACTAGAGAAGTTTAATATCCTAGTTCTAAAGTTTGGTGCAAGCATCAGTCTGTTGAAAAAAAGGATGACCTTTTTTTTTTTTATTTTTTATTTTTTTTTATTTTTTTTTAAGGGATGACCTTTTTAAAGTCTCTGTAGCCAAGTTATTTTGGTAAATACCTTGACTCAAATGTACAGGGTTTACATTTATTGCTTTAGGAACATCAATCAGGTCCTGGCCATTAACCTACTGATAATTTCTCTTTTATCCCTTTCCAGTGTCTGTGCACTGATCATCTCGACCTTCTACATGAGATACAGAATTAATACTCTGGAGGAGCAGCTGGGGTCACTAACCTCCACTGTGGACACCCATCAGACTGAGTAAGACAGTCCCTCCAGTGCTGTCTTCTGCTTGCTTTTCACATTAGTATAATGTTTGACCTGAGCATGGCATCCTTCTGGCAAGCATTAATTGAGGATACATTCTGTATGAGACATTTTGCTAAGTATGCCGGTAGAAAATAAAGAGGTAGGTAGGCCCTGGAGAGAAAAATGAATGACCTGACGGTGCATGTTTTCGAGTTGCTATACTGTTGGCAGTGAGAAGGCAAGACACAAGCCTAATTTTACATTATCCTGTTCTCTCATCCTAAGCTCCGTTGTGACCTTAGCCCATTTATTAAAATATTCAAGTTTATCTTCATAAAATGGCAGTGAGTCAAGTGATTCATAAAAAAGAAGCAATTCAAGAAACTCAGCACATTTCATCATTTATAGCTCTTTATAGGAACTCACTTATTTACAAAACTCTTGACCACTATAAGATCTATGTGACCAGTAATTAGCTGAATGTGTCTGTAAAGATTTTCTACCACAGTATTTTTAATAGGCCCCAACTAATTAAATCTGTTGACACAGGGGTCTTTCCTATAAACCCATTTACATGAGGATTTTGACACATTCCCTAAAAAAGTAAAACAAAGCATACTGCTAGCTGTAGTTTTAAAAGTAGAGATATTTCTTTATATCATATGTACCATGTGCTAGAGACACTGTTATAATTCATAGTTTCACACACCAACAATGTTCTCTCATTATATCTTCACCATAACCCTGTAAGATAGGTGTTATTCCCTCCTTTACAGATGAGAAAACTGAGACTGAGAGAAATAGTTTGAAAAAAAAAAAAACAGAATCAGGATTCAGGTCTTTATGACCATAGAAACTTAGTCTACCAGTGGTTCCTTGCCGAGAAGTGAGTCAGTGTATTTTCATTGTGTATCAGAATCATCTGGACAGCTTATCAGCATAGACTACAGGGCGCATTCTCCAAGCTTCTGGTGCTGGTCTGGGGTCTACACTTTAAGAACTATTATGCTATACCATTCTGGGGCCTTTCTTGACAGTTACCTAAAAGTTTTATTCTATGGCTTATGTGTATGCTGTTACACAGATTATTTTTTTACCATGAACATACATTTGAACCAATAATAAGAAGTCTAATGAATGGTTTGGGATAGATTTATACCCTGCCCTTACTCTCTCCCATGTTGTTCAGAATGTTAATAATACACCTAGAGCTAGGAGGTGACTCTACATTACTGTAAACTATTAGTTCACTATCATATAAGTGATATAAGTGATTTTATTAGGGAAATGTACCTCCTGTCCTGTTATCATTTAATTAACTTGGTGACAATGAGAGGGAAATTCTATTAATGAAAGTCAAATGGAATATTTACTCTACTATTTAGGTAGTCAACCCAAGAGGAGGTAACAATCTGAAAAACAATCATTTAAAAGGAAAATCACAGAGGTCACATATGACATGAGGTCAGGGAACATCTATGATGGGAAAGTCTGTTAATAGAGTAATCTAACAGAACCTGAATTTCCTCTGTATCTTACTTCATCCAGGGTCATCCATCCATGCTGCCCAGGTAGCTAAATCCACACTTGTAATCTGCTTTCGTTGGTACAGAACCATTTTTTTAATATATACATTGTGCTAGCTTTGTTAGTGGGTCCACAGCCTGTGGACTATCAGAATTTCACGTGGATAAATCAGTACCTTGAGTCTCAGATCCCTCGTTTAGAAGCCGAAAGATTTCACCAGGTACATCCTTGGTGGTCCAGTGGCTAACATTCCACACTCCCAATGCAGGGGACTGGATTCGGCCCCTAGTCAAGGAACTAGCTCCCACGTGCTGCAACCAAGAATAGTGCAGCCAAATAAATAATAATTTTGTTTTTAATATTTAAACTCAGTTTCCTTTCTGGGCTATAAGACTTTGATACTATGGATCAAGGTTAAAGAAAAAACTGTTTCACCTCTGCTCAATGAAAAACATGTTTGCTTTCTTAACATTTAGATAATCATCAATAAGTTACCAAGTATCTATGGCTCAAAAGTGGATCCTATGTAAAATAAATTAGACCAGTTAATGCCATCTAAAAACTTCACAGCTTATAACAAGCACATGAAAAGATGCTCAACATCTCACATTATTAGAGAAATGCAAATCAGAACTACAATGAGCTATCACCTTGCACCAGTCAGAATGGCCATCATCAAAAAGTCTACAAACAATAAATGGTGGAGAGGGTGTGGAGAAGAGGGAACACTCTTGCACTGTTGGTGGGAATGTAAATTGATACAGCCACTATGGAAGACAGTATGGAGATTCCTTAAAAAACTAGGAGTAAAACCACCATGTGACCCAGCAATCCCACTCCTAGGCATATACCCTGAGGAAACCAAAATTGAAAAAGACACATGTATCCCATTGTTCATTGCAGCACTATTTACAATAGGTAGAACATGAAAGCAACCTAGATGTCCATCGACAGATGATAAAGAATTGTGGTACATATACACAATGGAATGTTATTCAGCCATAAAAAGGAACACATTTGAGTCAGTTCTAATGAGGTGGATGAATCTAGATCCTATTATACAGAGAAGTAAGTCCGAGAAAGATAAATATCGTATTCTACACATATATACGGAATCTAGAAAAATGGTACTGAAGAATTTATTTCCAGGGCAGCAGTAGAGAAACAGACATAGAGAATAGACTTATGGACATGGGGAGAGGGAAGGAGAGGGTGAGACGTATGGAAAGAGTAACAGGGAAACTTATATTACCATCTGTAAATAGATAGCCAACGGGAATTTGCTGTATGGCTCAGGAAACTCAAACAGGGGCTCTGTATCAGCCTAGAGGGGTGGGGTGGGGAGGGAGGGGGATATATGTATACCTATGGCTGATTCATGTTGAGGTTTGACAAAAAACAAAATTCTGTAAAGCAACCATACTTAAAAAAAAATACTTTACAGCTTAAATTAAATTACAACCAAGAAACAGAGGAGATACAAACCATGGTGCTTGACCTTAACATGAAAATCTGATCAATAGTTTTTGAGCAGCTCTTCAGGAAAATGTATACATATCTCTGAATGTCCTACAGTTTTAGCTGGTATAGGACCCCAGTGGACCCCAGAGTAAGAGCCCATGCCTTTAACACTTGAGTGGTTAATGGTGAATATATCAATTATATTACTAGACAAGGGCAATTACATTTATATGGCAGGTCTCAAGGAAGGAAATACAGAAGTCACATACATCAGCAGAAATTTGATTAAAGACAGGCTTCTCTGTCCATGGAATGCTTCAGGCAAAAACACTGGAGTGGGTTGCCATTCCCTTCTCCAGGGGATCTTCCCGACCCAGGGATCGAACCTGGGTCTCTTGCACTGCAGGTAGATTCTCTACCGTTTGAACCACCAGGGAAGCCCAGACATTATGAAAGTTCTAGTGTAAATGATTGCTTCTCCCATAAACAGTACAAATATGACTGAGAAAAGCAATACTCTTTAAAAATGCATGCCATCATGGACAGAGAGAAGGTATCAGCGGTTAATAAAAGGAGTCTAAGAAACCACATGCTTGAGAATAATTGATTCTTGTTTGGAAGCCAAGGTACAACACAGCCACTTAGACAAAAATAAGAAATTTCCAGCTGATCTTTGTAGAATTAGTCCCCTAAACATCTAGTCTGGAGTTGTGGATTACTGCAGGGCCTTTCTGATGTTAGTAGGTTAAATGCACACTGTCTTCTATTATAACCTAGTTTTCTGTTCCAATAAATTTAAAATGTGTTCATTCCACTTGTTTCTTTGCCATTCCTGCCCACAGTAATTTTTCTCTTGGTTCTTACAGACAGACAGCACCATCTGGCCTGGGGTCACAAGTACAGTTAAATGTGGAGGCCTTGTGCCAAGAGCTTACAGCTAACATAATCAGATTAGAAAAGGTGAGTGCTTTCTTTCCTGTGTTGGGTCAGTCACTGTATTTACTGCCTCAGTCAGTCAGTCAGTTCAATCGCTCAGTCGTGTCCAACGCTTTGCGACCCCCATGGGCTGCAGCACGCCAGGCCTCCCTGTCCATCACCAACTCCCAGAGCTTACTCAAGCTCATGTCCACCGAGTTGGTGATGCTGTCCAACCATCTCATCCTCTGTCATCCCCTTCTCCTATTGCCCTCAATCCTTCCCAGCATCAGGGTCTTTTCCAATGAGTCAGCTCTTCACATCAGGTGGCCAAAGTATTGGAGTTTCAGCTTCAACATCAGTCCTTCCAATGAACACCCAGGACTGATCTCCTTTAGGACAGACTGGTTGGATCTCCTTGCAGTCCAAGGGACTCTCAAGAGTCTTCTCCAACACCATAGTTCAAAAGCATCAATTCTTCGGTGTTCAGCTTTCTTTATAGTCCAACTCTCACATCCATAAGTGACTACTGGAAAAACTATAGCCTTGACTAGACAGACCTTTGTTGGCAAAGTAATGTCTTTGCTTTTTAATATGCTGTCTAGGTTGGTCTTACTGCCTGTTGACAGTTTTTATGCTAAGATTCCTATGAGCAATGTGTGCAGCCTATGACTATTTATAACGTCATGCATTTTGGAACGTTATTACACATGCATTTTGACCCTAAATCCTCTTTCCTGCTTCTGCTTTGGGACACAGGTTTATGTTGGTACTATAGGCCCCCTACCACCATGGGGCAGGGGTTACACACACATGGGTGTGCGACAGACCTTTGAAGTGACTAAACCTCGCCAGGGGATTTTCCACAAAGAAATAGGTTTCAGCTCATTTTCCTTGTTATTAATAGTGGATTTTGTGGTTTTTCTCCTTGGTTAGAAATTATTATCTTGTCCTAGGCCCAGGGATAAGTGATATCTGACATGGAGCTCCAGGGAGGGACACTGTAGGGAGTGTCCTGACCAGCGAGGGCAGCCCCAGCTCCACCCAGACTGGTTGTCCCCATACGTAAAATATTTGCATTCAGTCTCTGTAGATGTCATTGTTTCCCTCTGACAAAATGATCAAAGTTTCAAGTTAACTTACTCAAGGAGGCAGAGCCAGAAAGTTGACAGAGCTAGAATTGGAGCCAGGTCTGACTCCCTTTGTCCTGAGAAGCCCTATGCTTTACTGCTCTCAAAAATCCACCTTATGCTTGGGGATAAGGTCGCTGAAGAGTGAGGCAAACAGGAGAAGATGGTAGGCACCCAGAAACATCCTGAAGTTAAACCTTGTTAACATTTCTTATCTCTCCTTTCAGCATGTCTATCCCTTCCCGTCTGATGCTTTGTTTTGATCCTTATCTCAGGAAAGGTTTAGTGAATTATTCCATTCTAATTGCTGCCACAAATGCTTAGTATTTGGTGGATTTCCATAATAGTACAGTTACGCTTACTTGGGAAGAAACATAAAACACAAATGAGTCAAATTAAGTTAGTCCTGTGATACCAAATGGTATCTAGCACTTAACTCCACTTTGCTTTGGAGAGCAAAGGAGTCCACAGGTTTCTATTCTAAGCCAAGGCATGACAGATAATCCCCACTGAATTACTCTATCAGTGGACAGACTCAGACATTTTCTCTTTTCGATCCATAATCAAGCTAGAGAAGGTATAGAGTAGCAACTAAGACATTAGTTGCTAGAATTGAAGATAAAATTTCTTTGATGAAATGCTTAGACATGTTTAGAGCTTCCCTGATATCTCAGTTAGTAAAGAATCTGCCTGCAATGCAAGAGACCCCAGTTTGATTCCTGGGTCGGGAAGATCTGCTGGAGAAGGGATAGGCTACCCACTCCAGTATTCTTGGGCTTCCCTTGTGACTCAGCTGGTTAAGAATCTGCCTGCAATGTGGGAGACCTGGGTTCGATCCCTGGGTTGGGAAGACCCCCTGGACAAGGGAAAAGCTACCCACTCCAGTATTCTGGCCTGGAGAATTCCATGGACTATATCGCAAAGAGTTGGACATAACTGAGTGACTTTCACTTTAGACGTGTTTGGCTTCCATGCTGAGCTGGAAAATGGAGTGGTAATTTTCTCTTTTGTTCACGCTGGCACATGGTGATGTTCTTTGGACTGGGAAGCATGCAGAACCCAGCCGCCCTCTTGTGCATTTCTTCCCATTCTCCTGTGGATCCTGGCAGGGACAACACTCTCTGTAGGACACTCTCTGAAGGACAGGAAAACAGGAGAGACAGCTGGCCATGTCTTGCGAAGGACCCAGCCACTCGGCTAGGGTGCCAACCTAAACCTGTGTCCCAAAGCAGAAGCGGGAAAGGGGATTTAGGGTCAAAATGCATGTGTTGACGTTGTAAATAATCATAAGTTGCACACATTGCTCATAGGAATCTTAGCATAAAAACAGTCAGCAGGGCACACCCATTGCTGTTGCTCAGGCTGTAGCCCCAGCCCCGCCCTCCCCAGAGGCAGGCTGGTGATGACACAGCCGCGCATGGCGGAGGTGCAGCAGCTATGAGGACGTAGGAGCCAGGTCTCAGCTGTTTCTACTCAACACCAGCAACTCTCTTTTATGCTCCCGCAGGGACTGGTCACGTCTCAGCCTCCTGATCTGCCCGCTTATCTCTTACCATTTCTGTTCATGGCATCACTGCCCTTTCAGTCACTCTTGTGGGAAATTGAAGAATACTTTTAACTCCTTCCTCTTTTTTCACTTGCCACTGATACACTGCACAAGACTCTGTTCACTAATTAGTCTATCTTCAAATGTCTCCTCAGATTCTGTAGTGTAGACACCATCTTAGGCCATTCTGGCCCCCTCCCACCTCCTAGACTGAGTGTGAAGTCAGATCTCATGGTTTATATTTACATTTTCCTGATTAATACTGTGGTTGAACATCATTTCATATATATATATATTCTCCTTATGGATTTCCTTTTGTAAACTGCCCATTTATCTCCTTTGTTTACTTTTGGGGTTTTTGTCTTTGTAGGCATTTTAAATATTTTGGATATCATTTTTTTTTTTAATCATTTCTTTTTCTCCCTTCCCACTCCTATTTATCTTTGGTCCTATGGGATAGGTAGGGAAGATGTGAAGTGAGAATATGGGGAATGAAGCCAGTGCCCTCTACAGGTAAAGAAGTAAATACTTATTTTCTTAGTACTGGAAGTGGCATTAATGTCGGAGCGGTACCCACTCCAGTGTTCCTTCCTGGAGAATCCCAGGGATGGAGGAGACTGGTGGGCTGCCATCTGTGGGGTCGCACAGAGTCGGACATGACTGAAGCGACTTAGCATGCATGCATGCATTGGAGAAGGAAGTGGCAACCCACTCCAGTGTTCCTTCCTGGAGAATCCCAGGGATGGAGGAGACTGGTGGGCTGCCCTTTGTGGGGTCGCACAGAGTCGGACATGACTGAAGCGACTTAGCAGCAGCAGCAGTGCCGAAGAAAAAGCATAAACTTTTCTATGGAGTCAGACATCTGTTCTTTTCCCTACTGTGCCTCCTGCTGTGTGACCAGCCTTGCTAGATAGTGTCTCTGGTCTTTACCTTCGCGTGGAAAACCCACCTCCATGTGTGAACGTGCGTGTGGTTAAGGTGAGCATACATGAAGTTCCTGGGACATACTTACTAGGCCTCTTCCTCTCCGTTTACCCTGTGGATACCAGTAGGACATCACCGAATATTCTTGTAAAAGAAGACTATGTTCTCTTTCTCTTGTTCCACAGGGTTCCCTATTCCCTTCACAGTGTTGGTCCTTAAAAACACCCTGCTCTGGATTCTTTCAAATTCATTTACCCAAACATTTACCAAACCCATTTTCACCGTCCAACACTATCCTGTGGTCTTGATATCCACAGATAGGCAATGTCCTGTGAAATTCTGTCTTCTGGGAAATGTTATATTGTGGTGTTTGTCCGATTCAGACCATTACATGGGCTTTGTCAAGTACAGTTTCCCATTGTCTCTGAATGCATTTGGGTCACACCTGGCGTTGCTAAGGTTTTTGTTCTATTTCTCTTAGTCTCTACTGACACTGTCATCTTTGTGCCAGTCTTTCCTTTTTTGCCCTTTTTTCATTTTAAGGTGGGAATGTCAAAACAGTTTTGTGCCATTGATAATGCATTTATTTGCCTGATCTAAATTTAACCCATGTGTAGCTTTTTATTCAAGGTACAAGAGATTAATTTCAAGCATTAAATGAACCATAGCAAATACGCCATTACTGTATACTCCACTCTATGTAATAACAGGAGCTCTTCTCTCTATTATTTCAAGATACAAAACAACTTACAAAAGCTGCTTGAGAATGGTGACTGAAGCTCAAGCCATGCAATACCTCGCACTTCCCTTGAAGAAGGTGCTCCCGGGGTGTTCTGGTGGAGCGCTCCCTGCTGGCCAGAGGAGCTAGCGGACGGCCAGCCTCGCTTGCCCTTGGAGGTCTCAGGCTCAGGAGAGGGGGGAATGGGGAATAGTTCTGGTTCCTGTGCAATAAAAGTTGACCTTGACTCTCTGAGGAAGTTTTCAGCGCTGCTGCCTGAAGCAGACAGACCCGTCTCTGGAGGTCTCGGGAAGGGCCCGGCGGACACGTGGATGATTGTGGTTCAGCAGGTTATTGTGACTGTGTCAGCAAACATGTTCCACTCCAGCCTTTTCAGTCCTACCCATCTGCCTTTTCTCTCCTGTATCCACCCCCGCCTTAACCAGCCTTCAACGTAAGGGATATATCATGTGCCAACAAACTCGATACAGTCCCTTAAAGAATTTGCCATGACTTTCCAAAAGGAAAAAAAAAAAAAAAAAACTGATGGACAAACTTTCTTAAAACAAGTAACATTTGAATTTTGGGGTTTTTTCCCCTTTCTGATGTTATTTTCTGGTTTACGTGACGTATGTATCTTAACTTCTCAGCCGAGTATTGGCAAGAAAATTAGGCAAAGCTGATTAAACTATCCCATTTTATGTTTTGTTTTGTTCTTCTCATTAATACTTAATAGGATTGATTCTCACCCACCCCAGGTCAAGAATCTGTGAGACATGAGACTAAAGTACTAAGTTTAAACTGACTTTGAAACCAAAACTAATCTTTAAAACAAAAAGTATAATAGTGATTTGATACTGGATGGAAGATCCTGCATTTTTAAGATTGTAGGTGGACTGTGTTTGTTTTGAAACAGGATGTCTATAATTAATGCTGAAACCTATCAGCATGATGATAGCATGCTTTTCTCTTTTACTGACTAAAATATATAACTGGTGGTTTGCTAACTTCTATTTACCATATGGGTTGGCTGGTTTTTATTAATAATTATTTAGATACCCTAAGATTTGTTAATATAAAAGATATTCTGTTTATCTATAATGCATTTTATAATCATTTCTATGAAATGTATTTTGTTTAATCAGATAAGCTAATAAGTGAATTGGTTACATCATTTGTATTTGTTCGCCTACTGGACAGGAACTGTGCCTGGTGCACCCCTGGCTTTTAATAAATACTCAATGGTTTAAATACCTTGCTAACCCTGTATTTTGTCAGTCTGTAAATTCTTGTAACTAAGACTTTTTAACTGCTTTTTAACTGCTTCTCATCCCTCTCTACTACTTCCAACTCACCCATACTTCTTTCCTCCCTAGTATTCACTTGCAAAAAAACTGATTTAAGTTCTTGTGTTACAACAATATAGGGGAAAGAAAATGAACTTTGATGTCAGAACATCAATGCATGATTCCTGGGTCCTCATTTTGAATTATTATTACTATAAGCAAGGTATTTGGTTATTTTCCCCCATTTTGTTGATGAGGATAAAAGTACCAAGGGAAAGTGTCATTGTGAGAATTAAATGTGATAATCTTTCTAAAGCTGATGGCCTTGTGGGGCAAGAAGTATACTCTTTTAATAGGAACCGTATTCATTTTTTCTTAAAATGTTTGCATGTCTGACAGTCCAGTGTTATCAAAGTTCTACATCAGTGCTTTATCATTAAAACCATTAAAGATTCAAGAGTGTCAGCCACCTCTGGAGAGAAATTTTGCAACTGTGTGAGGAGCCTTTTAAAAGTTATTTCACTGAATTAATAAGGCTATCCAGGAATTTACCCCAAAGCAATAAGTGATTTCCTCAAAGATTTACATACAAGAATATTCTTTGAAGCCTTAAGGGCAGAACATTAGTGACTATTCAGTAGCAGAGCACTTAAATTATGTCACTATTTAGAATGGTATTGTCAAAAATTGGCATAGAAAATAGCATTTAAAAAGGTAAGCATTATGGAGATAATGTGGAGATAAGAGAACTCTCCTACACTGTTGGTGGGAATGAAGATTGGTGCAGTGACTATGGAAAACAGTATGGAGATTCCTCAAAACACTAGAGCTACCATATGATCCAGAAATTTGACTCCTGGGCATATATCCAGACAAAACTCTAATCCAAAAAGATACATGCACCCCTATGTTCGTAGCAGTACTACTCACAATAGCCAAGACATGGAAACAATCTAAACACCCATCTACAGATGAATAGATAAAGGTTTGGTCCATAAATACGATGGAATACTACTCAGCCACAAAAAAAATGATGCTATTTGTAGCAACATGGATGCAACTAAAGATTATCATACTAAATAACTCAGAAGAAGAAAAATACCATATGATATCACTTACATGTGGAATCTAACATATGACACAAATGAACCTATCTTCAAACAGACTTACATAGAGAATCTGTGATTAAAACATACTATTTAGGTGAAGAGAAATTACCAGTCTTACATATGGAAAGTAGACATGATTATTGATCTCTCAAGCTGTGTGAATACTGAAGATATTTTTGTAAATATACATAACACTCCAAGGCATTTCCCAGCTATTCATTTATGTAGTTCTTTAAAACCATCCCTGACACATTTTTTATGTATTAAGCCTAATTTATTTAGAAAATAAAAATTATTCATACATATACATACGGATGCAGAAAGAGAATCCTTTCAAACAATAAATGCATTCCTGTCTCTCTTTTTTTAATTGAAGTATAACTGATTTACAATGTGTTTATTTCTGGTGTACAGCAAAGTGATTCAGATATATATATAAATATATATGTATAGATATACACACCCTTTTCATATTCTTTTCCACTCTAGGTCATTACAAGATCCTGAGTATAGTTCGGTGTACTATATAGTAGGACCCTGTTGTTTATGTTTCATATACAGTAGTTTATATATGCTAATCCCAAACTCCTAATTTATTCCTCACCACTCCCTTTTCCCTTTGTAACCATAAATGTGTTTTCTACCAGACACATTTTTGGGTGGGTGGGGGGTGGGGTGGGGCTGTGCTATGAGGCTTAAGGGATCTTAGTTCCCCAACCAGGGATTGAACCCAGGCCCCTGCAGTGGAAGCACAGAGTCCTAATCACTGGCCTGCCAGAGAATTCCCTACCAGACACATTATTTAATGCTTTTTCCTTGCCTTCCACAACTCACCCCAATTCACAAATTCATAGTCAGACTGAAAATTTTCCAACCTATATGTTAATTGTGTTGTATGCTGTTTTGATTTATGTATCCTAAAATTTCAATTCAGGTGATACTTTCCTTGTTTATCTGTTTCTGATGATCTAACGGATGGATGGATACCTATAACATGGACACTAACATGTTATAGACAGCCCAGTAGACTTTGCTCTCAAGCATTGTTTTAAAGTCAGAATTCTACTCATCTGTAACAGTTAATAGTGTCATTTGGGATCCATAACCTGATCTTCTTACAAAGGAGCTCAGTGATAGAATACTTCTCATGCACTTCTTTTAAGCCTGTCCTTGCTAGTAATGATATTACCAGTTCTTGACTTTACAAAACAAAATCAGACATTAAATGGAGCATCTTTGACCACTAATATTTCTAGCGCTTTTGTTTTTTCCAGATGCTAAGCCTTACTCAAAGCAATGTACAGATTCAATTCAATCCCTATCAAAATTCCAATAGCATTTTTCACAAAAATAACAATCCTAAAATTTGTGTGGAACTAAACAACTCCAAATAGCCAAACAAAGCAACCAAGAGAGAGGAACAAAAATGGAGGCACCACACCCCCTGATTTCAGATTAAATTACAAAGCCACAGTAATCAAAATAGTATGATACTGGCATGAAAACAGACACAGATCAGTGGAACAGAATAGAGAGCCCAGAAATAAATTCACACATATATGGCCAGTTGCACCACACCCCCTGATTTCAGATTAAATTACAAAGCCACAGTAATCAAAATAGTATGATACTGGCATAAAAACAGACACAGATCAATGGAACAGAATAGAGAGCCCAGAAATAAATTCACACATATATGGCCAGTTATGACAAACGAGTCAAGAATATTCAGTGGGAAAAGGACAGTAGCTTCAATGAATTGTGAGCGGAAAACTAGACAGCCATATGCAAAAGAGTGAAATTACACCTCTATCTTATACACAAAAATTCACTCAAAAATGGATTCAAAACAGTTATTGTCTAAACTGACATTTTTCTAAGGAAGACATACAGATGGCCAATAGGCACATGAAAAGATGTTGAATGTCACTAAACAGGAAAACACAAATCAAAACTATAATAAGATATCACCTCATATCTGTTAGAATGTCTATTATCAAAAATGAGAAATAATAAATGCTGGTGAGTTTGGAGAAAAGGGAACCAACCCTTGTGTACTGATGCTGGGAATGTAAGTTGATGCAACCAGTATGGAGGTTCCTCAAAAACTTAAAAATAGGACTAGCATAGAATCCAACAATACCACTTCTTGGTATTTATATTAAGAAGATGAAAACACTAGCTCAAAAAGATATATACACCCCGATATTCACTGCAGCATAATTTACAATAGCCCAAATATGGAAACAACCTAAGTGTCCATATATGTAAATGGATAAAGAAAATGTAGTGTATGTGGTATGTGTACACACACACACACCCATAGAAAGAATGAAATCTTGCCATTTATGACATTATAGATGGATCTTGAGGGCCTCATGCTGTTATATAAATCAAAGAAAAACAAATATCTATGATCTCATATATATGCAAAATCTAAAAAATAATAAAAATAAAAACCAAGCTCATAGATACAGAGAACAGTTTCCTGGTTGCCAGAGTCAGGTGGAGTGGAAGTGGTGGTTGAAATGGGTGAAGGAGATCAAAAGGTACAAACTTTCAGTTATGATATAAGTCATGGGGATATAATGTATGTACAGTATGGTGACTATAGTTAATAATACTGTATTGCATATTTATAAGTTGCTAGAGTAGATCTTAAAT